TTCCCCTTTCACTTCCTTTCGTCCCTTTTTTTTTAATAAAATATATTCTTTTTTACTTCTTTTTTTTTAGATTCGGCACTCAGTTGGGCTTCTGAAGTACAGAAATCCAAAGATTCGTAAGTACGAATTCTTTGGATTTTTTTTATTTTTTTTTAATAAAATATGAACGGCTAATACTAACCGTTCTTTTTTACTTTTTTTTTAGGTTCGGTGCTCGGGTGGACTTCTGAAGTACAAGAAATCCAAAGATTCGTAAGTACGAATTCTTTGGATTTATTTTTATTTTTTTTTTAATAAAATATGAACGGCTAATACTAACCATTCTTTTTTACTTTTTTTTTTAGGTTCGGTGCTCGGGTGGGCTTCCAAAGTACAAGAAATCCAAAGATTCGTAAGTACGAATTCTTTGGATTTTTTTTTTGTTTTTTTTTAATAAAATATGAACGGTTAATACTAATAACCGTTCTTTTTTACTTTTTTTTTTAGGTTCGGCACTCGGGTGGGCTTCCAAAGATTGGAAATCCAAAGAATTCGTAAGTACGAATTCTTTAAATTTTTTTTATTTTTTTTTAATAAAATATGAACAGTTAATACTAATAACCGTTCTTTTTTACTTTTTTTTTTAGGTTCAGCTCTCGGGTAACTTCCGAAGATTGGAAATCCAAAGAATTCGTAAGTTCTTTGGATTTTTTTTTATTTTTTTTAATAAAATATGAACAGTTAATACTAACCATTCTTTTTTACTTTTTTTTTAGATTCGGCACTGGAGTGACTTCTGAAAAATGGAAAAAACCAAGTTTCGTAAGTTTAAAACTTGGTTATTTTTTTTTGTTTAATTTTTAATATTATGAACGGTTATTAACTGTTCTTTTTCTTTTATTTTTTATAGGTTCAGTGTCGGGAGGGGCTTCCGAGTTTCGAAGAATGAAAAAAACCAAGATTCGTAAGTATATTATATATGAATCTTGGTTTTTTATTTTGTTTTTTTTTAATTATATTAATGAACAGTTACTAATAACCGTTCGTTCTTTTTTTTAGGTTCGGTGGACTTTCGAATTCTGAAGATCGGAAAAGAACCAAGATTCGTAAATATATATGAATCTTGGTTTATTTTTTTATTTATTTTTTTTAATTTTATTAATGAACGGTTACTAATAACCGTTCTTTTCTTTATTTTTTTTTAGGTTCGGTGGGCTTTTGAGTTTCGAAGAACAATAAAAAATCAAGATTTGTAAGTAATTATGAATCTTGATTTTTTATTTTTTATTTTTAATATTATGAACGGTTTTTAACCGTTCTTTTTCTATTTTTTTTTAGGTCTCGGGTGTCTCGGGTGGGATTCCGAAGAACAGAATACCCAAAGATTCGTAAGTACGAATCTTTATACTTTTTTAAACAAAATTTTTTTTTTAATTGTATCTTTCTTCTATTTTGTAGGTTTTTTTTGGTTCTTGGGCGTTGGATATATAGGTGGGTTTCGAAGTGAACTTTGAAACTTTTTTTTAAAAAAATATTTTAATTTTTTTTCTTCTATTTGTAGGTTTGGCCTTCGGTTCTTGGGTGTTGAATATACGGGTGAGTTTCGGAGTAAAATCTTTGAAACTTTTTAAAAGAAATATTTTTTTAACTGTTTCTTTTTTCTATTTTATAGATTTCAGTTCATGGATTTTGGATATATGGGTGAGTTTTGAAGTGAAAACTTTGAAGTTTTTTTTTAAAAAAAAATATTTTTTTTTTTTAAATTTATTTTAATTTTATTTTTCTATTTTGTAGGTTTAACTTTCGGTTCTTGGGCTTTGGATATATGGGTAAGTTTCGAAGTAAAACTTCGAAACTTTAAAAAAAAAAACATTTTTTTAATTGTTTCTTTTTTCTATTTTGTAAATTTCGGTTTCGGTTATTGGGCTTTGGATAGGTGAGTTTCGAAATTTCGCTTTCTTTTTGAAACTTTTTTAATAAAAAACTAATCATTTCTTTCCTTTTTTTGTAGGTTTCCACTTCGAACTTATATTGAACAGATTAGGTAAATTTTATATTTCAAAATTATTTTTTTTCGAAGAAACTTTAACTAATCGTTCTTCTTTTTTTTTTGTAGGTTTCCACTTTGAATTTTTGGTTAGGTAAGTTTTGAAATATTTTGAAACTAAAATTTTTTGGGATCTATCCAAAATCGCGAAATCCAGAATCCTGACACCACATAATCCCGATCTACAAAATCGCGAAACTACAAAATCCTGACTTGGACAAAATATCGACTAGTTCAAAATCCCGAAATATAAAATCTTGACGGTTCAAAATCTTGACAGATTAGATACTATTAATAATTTGTTTCAATCTGTCTTTTGCAAAATAATTTAATAGAATATTTAGAATATTTATATTATTTATATATATTATTGAGTAAAAATTATTTGGAAATCTTTTATTCTTTAGACATTATTAAAATAAGTAAATTGTGCAAAATATTGTATATCATTTATTTTATTTATTAATTGTTGTAATTTATAAAAGAACTAGATAAAAGAACTAGATTTTTGTAAATTTACTTATAATGTAAGACTTATAATGTAAGATTATAGGCAATACCACGAAGATACTCCATCACTGAACGGTTTTCTTTATCACTGATGATCGTCATGATTCTTTTTTCTTTGTTAATTAAAATAAATATTTATAATTACGTGTAAATCAAATTTGTCAAATAATAATATGCAACACGCAATTTGTTAATCAGAATGATTACATAACCATAAAAAAATTTTCATATGAATTTTCAATATGCTATGTTACTAAGTAAGCTAGAGCATGAGAACATGGAATATTAACTAATTTGTATGTACATTAAATGATTTACACAATATACTTTAAATAATCAATTATGCAATTTTATTGATTTATTTGTTCTTTAACTATAATAGTAAATATATGTTTGTACAATTGTAACAATTCTATTAATTACAATCTATAAAATTTTTATTGTATTAGACGATTTTGTATTTCGGGATTTTGAACTAGTCGATATTTTGTCCTAGTCGGAATTTTGTAGTTTTGCGATTTTGTAGATCGGGATTATGTTGTATTGGTCTTTTGTTTGTCAGTCTTTTGACCCATAACCAATTTTTTTTATTAAAGAATCGGTTTACTAACCGTTTCTTTATTTTTTTTGTAGGTTCTTCTTTGTACTATTATTGAGAAATAGACGTGTAAGTTTCAATGTGTTTCGAAACTTTATTTTTTATTATTATTAAAGAAACAGACTAACCGTTTTCTTTATTTTTTTTTTTGTAGGTTTCCATTAACGAATTGAGGGTAAAGGAGGTAAGTTTCAAATATATTTTGAAACTTTGATTTTTTTTTATCGAAGAAACATTAAACTAATTGTTTCTTCTTTTTTTTTTGTAGATTCCCCCTTCGGACTTTATTAGATGGGCGGGTATGTTTTGAATTTTTCGAAACTTTATTTTTTTTATTAAAGAAATGAACTAATTGTTTCTTTACTTTTTTTTTATAGGTTTCCCCTTCAGAATTTATTAGATCGGGTAAGTTTCTTTTGAAACTTCAACGTTTTTATTTAAAAAATAGGTTACTAACCATTTCCTTCTTTTTTTTGTAGGTTTTCTACGGACTTTTATCAGGTTAGGTGAGGATGATGGATGATGGATGGTGAACGGTGGATAGTGTATATAGATGATAGATAGATATTAATTTAATATGTAATTTTTAATAAACGAATTAATAAAATTTAATTAATAAATTATTATAAAATATCAGTTAAATGTACAAAAATCGGTAATAAATTATTAGGTTTATTAATAATCGTCAATTTGATTTTACCGATTTGTTGCCAATTTCTACTGATCAATTTGTTGACAAGTGGCAGGCGTTACGGTGCAAATCGCCTATAAAATTAGTTGCCAATTTTTTTTGGTACTGATCGGCTAAGGTCAAACCGAATTTCGTTCAACATTCGGCAATTTAAAATTTTGCTGAAATGGACTATTCTGACTAGTGTTATCAGGCATGGGCAAGGTGCTATCAAATTAAATCTTTCATAGCAGGTATTTAAAGTACACAAAGAGTTGAAGTTATGAACTGATTAATTAAAGAAAGCACCAGTAGTACTTCTTCACTGTGCAATTTACATGTGCAAGTTCAAAAATTATTAGATAATGAAGCACAGTAGGCTTGACATAATGCCTATCTTCAGAGTCTTCCAACCAACCAGGCACCATCATTATTGAGCCTATATTTTTTAATGTTGTTGAACTGATGAAAAAATACTTAACTCCACATATCTTATCAGTTCAACAACAACAAATACTTGGTTCTTTGCTATATTGTGCTAAAACTATTTCTAAAGACTCAATTGAAGCAATAAAGGTATGGAATTTTTTAAAAAAATTAGCATTATAGTTTGATTATATGCATTAGGAATTAAAAATTTTGAACGAAGTGGGAAAAAAGCCACTGATGCAATGCTGGTCATATGATTATATGCGAAATGATTAACCGTTACTAAATTTTTAAATAGAATGACGATCAATATGACTATAACAAGGGATTTCTTAAAGATTAACTTGATATGCCTAAGGTTGCTTGCTAAAACCTAGGGGTTTAGGTAAGATGGCATTTCGCCAAAAAGCGAAATTCTGCCAAAACTATATAGTTATATTAAAAAACTGGCAAAACTTTGGAGAAAGACGAAACTGCCAAAATTTATTATAAATGCCGAAACTGCCGAAACTCTGCCAAAACTATAATAAATCTATAGTAAAATTTTAACGAAGAAGTTTAAATAAGCAACCTTAGATATGCCACAGACGAACCTTTTTTCTCTACTAGAAGAAATACAACTATCTGATATCGTTAAAATCTGAAAACTTTTTGGAATCACAAAATCGTATAAGCATTATATTATTCTTCTAATTGATGGTGGCTATTTATGCACTTGTTTATCTATAATTAATCGTGGACTTGTATGTTCACATTTTTTTCATGTTATGATAAATTCAAAAGTTGCAAAATTTAATATTGGCCTTATTGCCAGGCGATGGTATCTGGAGAATATTCAAGATCAATATATTCACGAAAGTTTACAAGATGAAACTGTTGGAATAGTAACACAGTTTCAACAAGATAATAATAATGAAATTTTAATAGCTGATTTGCATATCTTTAATCAATTTAGAATGCCAGATACATTTACAATTGATATTAAACAATGCTTACAAAGGAAGGTTAAGTATGCATATGGGTTCGGAAAAATGAAGAAAGCACTTAATTTGGCACTTGATTTGGGTTGTGAAGATGAAATTTTTAATATGATTAATGGATTTATTAATTGCAAGAAAAACACTATTGAAGAAACAAACAATGAAAATAAAGAAGAAAATCTGCAAATTTTGGATCCTATAGTTCAAAAACAACGTGGACGACCACCAAATAAATGGATTAAATCAGCTTCTGAATCAAACTCATGTCATGCTAGCACAAAAAATAGCGCAATTAATCCATCTGATCCTAATTTATATGTACACGAAATGCAACAAAATTCTCAACAAGCATTTTCATCAAGAACTCCTTTAAATACACTAACTAATAATAGTGATTTTGGTATACAAAGACATGAAGCAAATGAAAACACATTAAAACAGAAAGTGTATTTATGTAAAATTTGTGGACAATCGGGTCATAATGCTAGGACATGTAATAAATAAATCAATGAAATATAGGCAATAAAAGTTGAGATTCAGTTGTTATAGTACAGAGAAATTTGAAATTTGTTTATTTTATAATGCTAGTAAAATGTGTTCTTGAATTTTTTCTAAAAAAAAAAATAAAGTTTTTTTTAATCGCAAAGTGTCGAAGTCACATAATTTATTAATATTACGTGATCCGATGATTTTAACCGCCCGTTATAGTTATAAAAATTTAATTTTTAATATTTTATTAAATAAAAATAACTATATTTAATTAAAAGGGAAATTTCCTTCTTTAATATTTATTAAAATTAGAAGTTATGATTAAAATTAAATTAAAGTTAAATTAGAAAGTTAGGTTTATTTATTATAATATATTACACTAGTATTACACTCTTATAATTATTATTTTAGTTAATTAATTTGAGAACTTAAAAATTTTTTATTATTAAAAATCTTATTTGTAAATAATTTACTAATTATAATTATTTTTAATAAAATTATATGATATATATATAAATATTTAGTATAAATTAAGAAATTTTCAATAAAAAATATTAATAAATGTTTCTTTTAAAAAAATAATAATAAAAATATTACTAATAGTTTTAATTTTTTTCAGTTTTCAAAGAAGGGTTTAAATTTTATATATATGCAGATACATTAAAATACATCCTTTATAATATCTCATAATAAAAGTAAAAATACCATTTTAAACCATATTTTGGTATTTAAGTAAAGTTGTAAAACAAGCAAAAATACACATAGTACTGTATATAGTGGACCACAGTCGGTACCCCGAGTATCTTACAAAAATCGGGGTTTGACCCTGTACCCCAAGTACTAAACAAAGCTTAAAAATTCCATTTTTTGTGAATATCTCACGTTCTACTAGTCCAATTTGAACGATCTTTTTTTATTTTGAAGAGCTCAATGAAAGCTATTAAACAAAAAAAAGATGGCTCAAATCTGATCACTGGATCACAGGATAATTGTAAAATATCTCCCAGGTACTATACAATTCTATGAAATTTTTCAAGAGGAGTACTATGCATAGGGGGTATTATGGCCCGCGATATACGGTAAGTATCTTTTAAAAGCTTTATAATATATATATAAAGTTTATGTAATATTTATTTAAAAATTAAAAAATTTAATGATATCAACGTAATAAAAAATAGACATATTTATTATAAGAAAATTACTAAAAAGGAGAATGTGTTGCTATGCATCCATGTAAAAATGTTTTTTTTCTTCAAAGAAATACTCTAAAAAAATTAGTAAGAAAAAAGAATCTGAATATTTAATACAGTGGACATCAAAAAAAATGCACCAAACTTTTTTAAAATTATTAATTGTTCTTATTAAATCAATTTAAATTCAATTAAAATAAAATTTAAAACTTAAATAATATATGGTTTGGCCTACTAAAAAACATATAATTTAATATTAATTTACTAATTAGTTTTTTAATTACATAACATTAAATCAAAACAACTTGGTGCATTCTTTTTGCCACTTTTTAAAATTTTTAAAAAAATCAAAATTTTCACAAAATTATATTATGCTTTTATAATAAAAAAAATGTAAAATTAATTATTAAATAGCTTAAATTATTAATTAAAATTAAAAAAAGTCAATACTTTTTAGTAATAAATTGATTAATTTATTTAATGAATATAATTAAAAATTACTATAAAACATATAGATTTTACAGTTTTTATTATAACAGTTTTTCTTAAACTACATTAAATCAAAAAATTTTATAGTAAAATAATACCCAAAATTAAATTCTCCTAATTAAGGGGAATTTGCGAAAAAAAAAATGGAGTGCAACGGACCTTTAGATAGTGAGATATTACTTGTTAAAGTATGGCAATGATCTTCATTTTACATATAGAAATGATAAGAATGCACCAAGTTGTTTTGATTTAATGTTATGTAATTAAAAAACTAATTAGTAAATTAATATTAAATTTTATGTTTTTTAGTAAGCCAAACCATATATTATTTAAGTTTTAAATTTTATTTTAATTGAATTTAAATTGATTTAANGTAAATTAATATTAAATTTTATGTTTTTTAGTAAGCCAAACCATATATTATTTAAGTTTTAAATTTTATTTTAATTGAATTTAAATTGATTTAATAAGAACAATTAATAATTTTAAAAAAGTTTGGTACGTTTTTTTTGATGTCCACTGTATATAGATTATAATGGATTTAACTATACTCTTTTATTAAACTTAAATTGTTTTTTGAAAGTTTCTTCTTGATATCTAGTAATTCAATTTTGAATTTTGATAAATTTTTTATAAAGTTTAATAAAAATTATAAAATAAAAAGTTTATTTAAATTAGCAAAAAAATGATTTTTAAAATTTTTAGAAAGCTAATTTATTAAAAATAATCTGTTTTTTAAATTTTTTAAGAAAAATATTAATAAATAAATATTTTGAAAAATAAACCAAAAAAAAATTTTAAATTATTTTGATTGAATGATTAATGAATATTAAAATCTATCAATTTATTTAATTAAAATAATAAATTTATTTTATATTTTTATAAAAAAAGATTCAAATTCAAATAAGTCAAGCTGAAATTATTATTATTTCAACTTAATTTGGATTGATTCAATTTTTTTGAATTAAATATAAGTTACTTCTTAATTCAACTTAAATTAACTTGTTTAGAATACTAAATAAAATACATTAAAAATCTCATAATAAATATATTTTTATATATCATAATATATTTCTTAGATTACTATATGTATTATAAAATAATTACTTTTGAAAATTGAATTTTTTTTAAATTTTACACCATCTTAAAATTACATTATCAATTGAAATTTGAATTATATAAAATACTTAAAGTAGAATATAAAAACTGATTGATCACATCTCATTGATCAGAATGGATAATATTAGAGCATATATATATATATTTTGTATATTACAAAATATTTTATCAAATAAAGTAATTACAATCTTTGAAAAAAAAAGAATAGAATACTGAAATAAGTACATATAATTGACCATCTACTGTTATGAAAATGTTTAGAACCGTCATTATATTTTCACTTTATTTAAAATTAGTAAACACATTAAACACATTACAATACAGAGCAAAGTATTTAAAGAATTTAATTGGCTGATTCGTATTTGAAAGTTTGTTATATTGATATACTTTTTGTACGGGATTCGTTTAGAATCTTATATAAAATAGACACAATCATATGTATATTATCTAATAAACATAAATAATTCGTCAGTTGGTTATACAAATTTCTTGATTGTGTACCTGTACAGTTAATACATCAAGCCCTATAAGAATCACGTTATTGCGTAATCTAAAAGAGGTTACCTTTAGGTTAACAGTTATGTTCTTAGGAACATTAATATAATTTATACTCTATAGACTAATAATAACTAATTAACAAGACTTTTCTAAATTGGGATACTCGCACAAATCCATCAAAAATTCTAAATATTTACGTGACTAAATTTCCGTAAATGTAATTTATAATTTTTTTATTGGCCACCAACCATCTTTGCCGCCATTTCTAATTAAAAATTACGTATTCAGCACAATTTATCCATATTATCAGAGTACGACATATTTGTTAGGTCACACGCAAACGAGATATTTACAAACCCAAAAAACCTCACATGATATTTATTTATATTAGAAATAAGGGGGATTGTAAAATTTGCCCACACTTTCTATGTAGAATATTCCTTTGGATGACGAAATAACCAACATATTATAACCAACATATTATAGCCACGTAATAAATAAACCATAAAACCCACCTACTAGTATAATAGTATACTAATTTTTTTATGAATGTATATACAATCTATATGTAAATATGATGTTAAAAGGAAAAGTAAAAGTAAAACAAAAATCTAGAGTAAAATCTTTAATAAAATTCTGATATCTTTTTAAAGATAATTCATGTTAGATTTAAAAATGTCGCAGCGCTTGCTAATACAACACTGAATACACCAGCGTTATTCGTGGGTAATAAAGCAACCTGATAAATTGCTTTAGTTTCTTCGTCGTTTGGTGTTAAACTTATGTTCGTTGCCAACAGGTTTTCAGTCGTTGGTTCAGATGTGCCAACTAGAGTTTCATAGTGTATGTTGTGTTGTGGACTGATAGTATTTGGTCCTGATAATGATGCTCTTAAAAAGACTGACATTACTGCGAAATATAAGAGTGCCTTTACACTTTGTTGTGAACCGTTTTTTTGTTCCATTTTTTCCATTTTGAAATTTACTTGTAGCGAGAAGATATTTTAGAGAAAAAAAATTTAAGGGACTTTTGAAACTTTCATAGTATTTATATTTTTGTGCAAATAAAAAAGATAAGGAGAAAGTTTCCTTAAAAAGTTATTGTGTACTTGTTTTTGTGAGTCATCAATAAAAATTTGACTACGCCATATATCATTATTTCAATATAGTTCAATATAGTTAAATTAACAATGAATGATTTTATGTAAAACAAAAGCAATCGGTTGCTTTTTTCATTTATTATCCAAATTTATCAAATAGAAATCCCATACTTAGTTATTAAATTTAATCCGCATAAACTAAGTTACCGTAGAGAATCAACTTAAAAAATAAATCAACTTCTAATTTAAATAAATCTTTTCATTAAACTTCTAAATAAACTATTTTATAGAGATCCTTTATTAAATATACTATGGATCACGACCGTAATAATCATGTGATACAACTTTATGTAAGGATACGTCATGATAGATCTGTATATTAGAATATTCTACCATGATTACCATGATAATGTGGCAATTGATAGGTTTATTTTGATCGGCTAAATAATTTAAAAGAGAAATTGCAGAAAGATTTGATATTGGAATTCGTGGACCATTCAGGTAAAGAGAGTGTGTATACAGAAAAAATGCTCGAACGTAAAAAATTATATTTTATGTAGGGTTCGGCAAATAAATACTCCCTTTGGTCATACGTGGAAGGTGCTCTTAAACAAATTCCAACTGATAATAATTATTACAATTCGGGGTGCATGGAGTTGCGCTTCAAGAAAGATGACATTATAGAAACAAATCAATTATCTAATGAGTCTGGAGCGCTTAACAGAAAGTATCATGATAATACAGCCAAATATAAGGGCATCGTAAGTGATGGATGTCCTAACAAAACAACAGCAGGCACAGTTTGAGGAATTGTGCGGATTCTATTCTTCTTTCATTTATTAACTCTTGATAATAATGTATTAGTTGATATTCATGTATTGTGAAGATCCTCAACCCCAGAAAACGTGTCGTCTTGTACACCGCACACGCGTACCGCCTAATCTCAAATTTCTTCATTAACTTTTCTATTATTAAAATACATTCCTCTATCACTTAAAATCCTTTGAGAACATTAATATTTACAAATAATATCTTCATAAATGAATGTCAATACTTCTTCTGAATCATCCTTTTTAATGACTTTAACTTTCAGCCATTTTGTAAAATAATGTATAACAATAATATATCTATTCTCTAACTCTGTAATTGGTAATGGTTCAACAAAATCTATTCCAATCTGATAAAATAGTTCTTTAACTTTAATAACTGAATGTAATTTGTTTCTTTCAATTGGTTTTCCTCTTCTTTAACAACTATCACAAGATTTAACATAAATTAACTTATTTTTCCAATAATATTTTTCTTTTATTTGTTCTATGTTGCTTTTATTTCAAAATGTGCTGAAATTTCATAATTATATAATGTATATTAATTTTTTGAATTCATATTTATAAATTATTGTGTGACATTATAATGTCAAAGTTTAATAAAAGCTTAAATAGTCAAATAAAAACTTAATTATTAAATAATACTACTCTCTTTTTTTTCATTTATATTATTTTAAAATATTTTTTTTTCCATTTCTTATCTATCTTAATATTGAACTGGCAAGTTATAATGATGGAAGACTAGCTAAAAAGCAAAAAGTCATTAGTAATATTACTTTATTTACTTTTGGCCAATTTAAATATTAAAATTTAAACATTTATTATTTAGGCAAAATTTACATATGAAAAAACCTAATAATGATGATATAGAAAAGCTTATTGATAGTAATAAAGCTTCTTGTAAGTCAGCTTACAAGCTAAAAGTACTTTAAAAATATATTGGCTTACCCTTAATTGATAGTAACTATTGCAAGAATGCCACTTTTATATAGGTTCATACTTTAAAAAGATTTTAATCTAATTGTTAGTATCCAGAGTTAATAGAACAAGTGGATTTAAAAGATAAGTTAAAAGATCAGTTGTGCCATTTTATTTATGCTATAAAAAAACTAGATGGATTTGATTACCATACTAGTTCACTTAATAATTGTTTTTATTCTGTAAACCATTATTTAAATAAGAAATTAATAGATCAGAAAATGCCTAGAACTTGAATGTAATACATGTGCAGTTTTTAATATTATTGGCTCAAATAAGGGCAAATTTTGTGCTAAACACAGACAACCAGAAATAATTGATATTTAAATCAAACTTTATAAGTATACAGAAGATGCAATAATAAATTTAAATATTGAAGTTCAAACTTTTGTTCTCAGAATCTCCATTATATGCTCTCAATTCATCATCCTTCTGTATAAATAGCAAATAATATTCAATCAAATTGTAAAATTGACATTTAAAAAAATCTGCAAACTAATATGATATTTTCGATTATATTAATTATTATATCATGCATCAAACATTTATATATAAATTTATGAATACAATATATTTCTGTGAGATTTTTTTTTGTCATCTAAAAATTTTTTACATACTCTATATAATAAAAGTAAACATTAGTTTTTTCTTTTTTATAAGTTAATTCACTTTAGTTCATCTTAATTCTTATTAAATTCCTAACATTGTAAATTTGATAAAGTTCTATAATAAAATATAATCTTTTACATAATAAATAATAAACAAACTTCTATTTGCTGATCATTTGTAGATTATCACCAAATTATTTACCAAATTTTAGTGTTAACTGTTAACTAAATCATTTTTTATTATCTAATATATTTGACAATTATATTATTCTTAATCTTCCACTGAAATCACTACCAATACTTTCAAAACCAATTAACTTATTGCTTGAATAAAAAAGAATATTACAAATTATGGAAAGTTTATAATGCAAAAGTTAAAAATCTTTGCTTTAAATAGATTTAAAGAATATAAAAGAGCTGAAGAATTTATAAAAAAGGAGCTTTTACAAATTATAAATCATTTTACAATATTTGTAAATAATCATATAAGTTTATTATGACATGTATTTTTCTTTAATACTATCTTTTTAGAACTTTACAATAGTACTTTATTATTCAAAAACTAATCAATGTAAAGTCAACAACATTTAAACAAAAAGAAATACTGGTCAAATCAGCCAAAATTCAGCCAGCCAATTTTAGGCTGATTTATAGTCTAATGCTGGTCAAACTTTAGCCAATTTTTTGGCTACAATTCGCTATCACTCGCTTAAAGTTCAACTTGAAATTTCGGCCAAAATTCAGTTAACATTCAGAACAATTTCAGATAGCAAATTTTGGTGAATAGTTTTCCAAATGTTACTTAATTTATGTTGCAAATTTGTACTAATTTCAATTTACATTTATTTATTAATATTTAGCCACAATTCATTTTATTTGATATTCACAATAAAATCACAACTTTATTTATAAATGTATATTACAAATAAGTATTACTAATCTACAATTCCACAATCACATAATTCATGTATTAATATATACTTACGAATCTTAATTTTTTGGAAATCACTGAAACTATAAAAAAAGAAAAGAATGGTTAGTAACCGTTCATAATATTAAAAAAAAGCAAAAAAAAACTTAGATTTATTTACAAATCTTTGGTTTTTTTCTGTTCTTTGAAATTCATCTGAGACACTAAACCTATAAAAAAGAAAAGAAAAGAATGGTTATTAATAATCGTTCATAATAATATTAAAAATAAAAAATAAACCAAAGATTCGTACTTACGAATCTTGGTTCCACTTTTTCCAGAGATCCTAAAACCTAAAAAAAAGAAAATGAATGGTTATTAGTAACCGTTTATAATAGGACCCCAGATATCTCCAAAACAGGTCATAAGTCACACTTTTGGCAAATTGGTCCATTTTTCAGGAGTTCAAAAAATCAGTTTTTGTAAATATCTTGGCATCCAGTGGTCCAATTTTGATTAACTTTTTTTTAAATTGTAGAGCTAAATGAGGGTTCCAAAATAAAAAACGTTCATTAAAATTGAATCACTGGATGCTGAGATGTTTACAAAAAATGATTTTTTTGAGTTTCAGCAAAAAGGGGCGTTTTTAGCCAAAAGTCCATTATAACCTTTATATTAGATATCCGGGGTCCTTTTATAATAATATTAAAAAAAAAATAATAATAAACCAAGATTTGTATTTACAAATCTTGGTTTTCTGTTTATGAACCTATAAAAAAAAATACAAGAACGGTTAGTAAACTGTTCGTAATAATAATAAAAAAAATAAAGTAAAGCATATGGGCTGATTCTTGAAATCTAATTTTTTTATACAAAAATAATTTTATTAAAGTAAATATAAATTATCATTTATATAAGAATAATAAATTTATACTAGATAATGCAAAAAAAACTAATTAATTATATAATTTTTAATTTTTTTTTAATATAAGATATCATTAAAATTTAAAAGATCAAATATAACTCTCATGACAAAATCATTGATAATTCTTCGTAGAAATAAGCCTGTCTCTTATACACATCTAGATGTGTATAAGAGACAGCCATACTAGTTGTATTAGCGAAGCTGAAAAGTATCAAAAAAGTTTGTATAAGGTTCATAAAAAGGTATTTAAAAACATAAGTGAATTATAAAATATTTTTATGTGAAATCAATTTGAAATTTCCTTCTTTTTAAATTAGGGTAAACAGGATACGCCTAATAAACAAAAACGACAAAAAGTTGATATGCCAAGTAATATTAACAATCAATCCTTAGAAGGAGAACAAAGTTATACTTTCAATAATAGTAAAATATTAAAAAGTAGTGAACAAGATCAAATTCCAGATATCGTTACTGGCAACAACAAAAATCATAATCAAGAATCAAGTTTTAAAAAAAAGAAAAAGAATAAAAACAAAAAAAATCAGCAACAAGATGATCAACCAAACGGGAATAAGATTAGCATTAAAGAAGAAATGAAAATAAAAATAGATATTGCGGCCAAAGTCTCTAATGGTTATAATAACGAAGCTGAGATACTGAATACGAATATTAAACAAGAAGATAACACCATCGTCGCTAATAGTAGGAAAAAAAAGAAAAAGAAATCCATAAACAATATTAACGGCAATGACAATAACAAAGTTGAGGAGAGCAACAAGGAAGGTAANAGGATTTTAGTAGAATAAATCTAATAAAATAATTTTAAAAGATAAAAAACAAATATATAATTAGTTATTTTGAAAAAAAAGAATATCTTATTATTCATTTTACAACTATTTTACATCATAATTATTTTTTATTTGCATGTATTTTTTACAAAGAAAAAACAATAAATTAAAGCTAAAAATTATGAAAAAATATGTCTTATATATGTATATAAAATATTAAATTTTTTCTTTTACTTAACACTTAAAAATAACTGCTATATTTGCTTATAAACTTTTTTGTCATATTTAATAAAAATGAATAGAAAAATGATGGAAAAGTGATGGGCAGTGATGGGGAAAAAGAAGTGGTTATTACCATTATTTTTAAATATTGATTAAAAAAATTTTTTTATTTTTTATTAAATCTGAGTTACGTAAATATGTAACACATATTTAATTTAGATTTGTGTAATGTTAATCTTACTAAAATATTAAATTTTTATAAAAATCTTAATTTAGACTAATTCCAAAAATCGGCACATATGGATTCATACTTATGAATCTTTTGGACTTTTATTTTTCAGAAACTCTGAGACGCTAAACCTATAAAAAAATAAAAAGAACGGTTTGTAACCGTTTTATAACATTAAAAAAAAATTCATAAGTATATTACTTACGAATCTTAAAGATTCTCATTTTTCCAATTTTCAGAAGTCTACCCGAACTTATAAAAAAGAAAAGAACAGTTATTAATAACTGTTCATAATATTTTATTAAAAAAAAAATTTATAAAAGATTCATATTTATAAATCTTTATCTTTGAATTTTCATTCTTCAGAAGTTCATCGAACCTAAAAAATAAAGAAAAGAATGGTTATTAATAACCGTTCATAATAAAAAAAAAAATTATAAAAGATTCATACTTATGAATCTTTATTTTTGGGTTTTCATTTTTTAAAAGTCCACTGAACCTAAAAAATAAAGAAAAGAATGGTTATTACACTAGTCAAAAACTAGGTAAACGTGGCATAGTAGCCTTTATCTTTATTAAATTTATTCAAACTTTACAATTTACAAAAAATAAAAAGAAAAATAAAAAATAAAACTAACTAAAAACAAAGCTATATAGTCTCCTAAGAAAAAATAAAGTAAAAAATTAATCTAAAAGAAAAATCGCATTACACTAAATTTCTCCAGATCTTCCCCCTTAATATATTCCAACCAAAATAGAAGCAACACTAGTCAAAAACTAATATATCTGGTAGCAGATATGTATCAGATATGTACCCAATATATGTAGTATTAATGCAGAAAATCGGGTATCCGATATGTGTAAGATATATGTAAATATATATATCGTCTACATATCATTTACATATCATATACATATCGGTACCCGATATATATATGATATATATATTTACATATATCTTACACATATCGGGTACCCAATTTTCAGCATTAATACTACACATATCAGGTACATATCTGATACATATCTGCTACCCGATATATTAGTTTTTGACCAGTGTTGGAGTTTTTATTTTTCAGAAACCATCCAAACCTATAAAAAATAAAAGAAAAGGAATGGTTAATAACTGTTCATAATATTAAAAAAAAAATAAACCAAATTCTGAACTTATGAAACTTGGTTTTTTCTATTTTTTGGAAGTTACCACTCGAAAGTTGAATCTAAAAAAAGGTAAAAAAGAATGGTTAATAACTGTTCATATTAAAAAAATAAAATAAACTCTAAAGAATTCATATTTACGAATCTTTAGAGTTTCTGTATTTCAGAAGTCACCTGAACAGCCAAACCTATAAAAAAAGAAAGAAAAAAGAATGGTTAATAACCGTTCATATTAAAAAAAAAATAAAAAAAATCTCTAAAGTATTCGTACTTACGAATCTTTGGAGTTTCTGTACTTCTCGAAAGCTAAACCTATAAAAAAAGAAAAAAAAAGAACAGTTAGTAACCGTTTATATTAAAAAAAATAAAAAAATCTTCAAAGAATTCATACTTACAAATCTTTAAAGTTTCTGTACTTCAGAAGTCCACCTGAATGGCTGAATCTATAAAAAAAAAGAAAAAAGAACAGTTAGTAACCGTTTATATTAAAAAAAATAAAATAAACTCCAAAGAATTCGTATTTATGAATTTTTGGAGTTTGAAACCCACCCGAAAGCTTAATCTATAAAAAAAAGTAAAAAAGTGAAAGGGAAAAGGGGAAGAAAGGAAAAGGAGAACGAAGAAAATGAAAAGGAAGAAAGAGAAACAGGGAAGGGAATGAAGAAAGGGAAAGAGAAGGGAAGAAAAAAATTAAAAAAAGTTTAAAAAAGAATATATAAGATGATTTTTTTTTAAACTTTTAATATGTGTAATGTGTAATGTGTAATGCATAATGTTTGATTAATATAATTCAATAAATCAACCATAAATCATATATGTCAAAATTTGGCCAAAATGTGTGATAGATCAGCTGAATTTTTGCTGATTTGTCATATGACCAAAAGCTTTAATTTTAATCAGTATTATGACTGTTATGCTTGTCATCTTCATTACCAATCTATTAAAACATACAAGAATGTAGGTACTATTGAACAATGTAGAAAATGTGGAAGGAAAAATATAGAAAAATCTAGATTTCAAAATCTGGATGAAGAACATATCAAGAAAATTACATCTCACTGTGTTGGAGTCTTTTATAAGAAAGAGTTCTCATAGTATCAGACATCAGAAATTTAAACACGGCATAATGTTCCGTAAGTTTACGGATTTTCGTAAAATTACGTACATTTACGGCATAATGTTCTGTAGATTTACGGATTTCCGTAAATCTACGTAATTTTACGATCAAAATATTCCGAAATAATACGGGATCTGTCTCTTATACACATCTAGATGTGTATAAGAGACAGATAGTATATAACTAATACAATGTATATAAGCATTCTAAATAAAAAAAATATGTGTTTTTGGGCGAACTGAGTTCGCCAAAATTTGCCAAGAAAATTTTTTATTAATACATGCGAAAAAATAAATACAAAGTTTCAGGACGTAGTCTGTGATACATGATAGTTCTATGCTAATACCACTGGTAAAAAAATGATTTATCCTACACATATCTTACACATATTGGGTACTTAAAATGTAGAAAATCATACACAAATAATACACATATCATACACATATCGGGTACTAATATATATATCATACATATATCAGGTACCTGATAGGTATACTATAT